ACAAAAATCTCCCTCCCTCCACCCAGAGTATAAAAGCTGATGTTTTCAATGAGACACTAACTAGAATTATTAGAAGTCTATTATTAATTCAGGAATAGGCATCACTGCTTTGAAAATGCAGCCCTGGGGCTTCTGGGAAATCACTTTCTTAGAAAACTACTGCAGTCATTATGGTCATATGACCATATGACTTTTGTTTTCTCATCTGTGTTCTGGCTTGTTTCTTTAGATTTTTAAATTTCTTTTGGGCTTTATTCTCTCACCCTTCAATCTTTCTGTATTCAACATAGAGTTGTTGAGTAGATGCTTGTGGGGCTGGGAATGTAGCTTAGTGGTAGAGTGCTTGCCTAGCATGCATGAAGTCTTGGGTTCGGTTCTTCAGTACAACATACACAGGAAAAGCTGGAAGTGGTGCTGTGGCTCAAGTGGTAGAACGCTAGCCTTGAACACAGAGAGGCTCAGGGACAGAGCCCAGGCCCTGAATCCTGAGTTCAAGCCCCAAGAGCAGTAAGAAAGAAGGAAAAGAAACAAAGGAAAGGAAAGAAAGAAAGAAAGAGAGAGAGAGAGAAAAAAAAATATGTATGAGAAAGAAAGAAATGTGCACAACTGCCCAGTTGAAAGCCATGTTTACAGTTTCAATAATGCCTTCTTGTTTGTTTGCATTGAGCTGTATGTAGCAAATCACATAGTGAAGTATTTGTTTCTTTTTTTTTTCTTTTGCTGGTCCTGGGGTTTGAACTCAGGGCCTGGACATTGTCCCTGAGCCTCTCTGTGCTCAGGGCTAGTGCTCTACCACTCAAGCCACAGCACCACTTCCAGCCTTTTCTTGTATATGGTAGTGAGGAATCAAACCCAGGGCTTACATGTGTGCTAGGCAAGCACTCTACCACTAAGCCACATTCCCAGCCCCACAGTGAAGTTTATAAACAACCAAATGACTGCCAGGCCAAAGCAGAGGAGCACCATCATTTCAAAGCATCTTCCTTGTCCTGTCCAAAGAGTTCTAATGGCATACTTGCTCTGCACTGAGAGCAAACTGTGCAACTGGTGAACAGAAACATGTGACTGGCCAATTTTACCCCCAATCTGAGTTCTGCCACATTCTGTGACCAAATTTGGGATCAAGCTATAAAAGATATCTGGCCAGTGAAAGAGAAAAAAAGGAACAGCCAAGAGACCCCTTGACCCTGCCCTATGTAAGCCTAGGGAGGGAAATTCCAAAAGGCTTTGCAAATCTTTCCTTTCTGTCTTTTGATTTGCGATGGGCAATCCTTCTTACCTTCCCTCCCTTCATCTCTTCTCTCTCCTTCTATGACTCTTCAAAAGACATCTAACCTTTGAAAAGAGTGAACCTCCAATGTATAAAATGAAACCTAGCAGATGGATAAAGGAGAATTTCAGAACAAGTACTGACCTGGGAAACATAAGTTCACATTTGCCACTACAGGCTTTGGGGCGATAGTAAAGTCATTTCATGTGTCTGAAGCCAGTTATATAATAAATGGAGTCTTTTCAGTTCTGTGATAAGCCTGGGCTGTATGGGGAAAGACATTTCCTTTTGGATACCTAGGTTATTCTACAGAGGTACAAGGAAAAAGGGTAAAGAACTAAAAATGCATGTGTGTGTGCATTTGTTGAAAAAGATGGATGGGAAAGTTGGACACAGAAGTCAACCTTTTTCTCTGGAAGTGAGGCTGTGGGTCAAAGTTGTAGTGTACTAACCTTGAGCAGAAAGAGCTCAGAGGCTGCATCCCTGAGTTCAAACCCCCAGTGATGCAGAAAACTGTAGCTAGATCCTCACATATCACTCTAATTGTGACAGTGGCACCCAGCTGAACTTTTCATTTTATTGTTTTTTTTTTTTGATCCAGTCATGGGGCCTGAACTATGGGCCTGGGCGCTGTCCCTCAGCTCTTCAGCTCAAGGCTAGCGCTCTACCACTTGAGCCACAGCGCCACTTCCGGCTTGACTTTTCATTTTAATAGTTTTACTTACCCTCATTTCCAAAAGTTTCATTTTAAGAACACATCTTTCCCTTGCCTCAAAGCCAAAGGAAGGGCTGGAAATGTGTCTTAGTGGACTGTGGCTTAGTGGTAGAGTGCTTGACTAATAAGCACAAAGCCCTGGGTTTGATTCCTCAGTACCACATACACAGAAAAAGCCGGAAGTGGTGCTGTGGCTCAAGTGGTAGAGTGCTAGCCTTAAGCAAAAGAAGCTCAGGGACAGTGCTCTGGCCCTGAGTTCAAGCCCCAGAATTGGCAAAAAAAAAAAAAAAAAGCCAAGCGAGTCCCTTCTGTTTTTTTTCTTTTCTTTTTGCTTTTGATGGGAGTGTTCAGTACTGGTAGACATCCTTGCCTGCAGCAGAGAATATGCGTTATTTAAATATCTGTACAACCCAGATGCCCCTGGCTCATGCCTACAATCATAGCTACTCAGGAGGCTAAGATCTGAGGATTCCGGTTCAAAGCCAGCCAAGGCAGGAAAGGTCATGAGATTCTTATCTCCAGTGAACCACTAGAAAACCATAAATGTAGCTGTGACACAAAGTAGTAGGGTGCTAGCCTTGAGGAATAGAGCTCTAGACAGTACCCAGAGCCCAAGTTCAATCTCTATAGCTGACAGAAAACAAAAGAAAAAAAAAGAGTTTGAAACCAGTTTAAGGTACTTCATGAGACTGTTTCAAATATTTTGGTGCTTTAGGAAAAGTTTATATTAAAAATTCCATGTGGAGGGCTAATGGATGAGTAAGGTCTATATAGTTTATTTACATTTATAAAATAGAACACTTGGGGCTGGGAAGGTGGCTCAGTGGTAGATTGCTTGCCTTGCATGCATAAGGCCTGGGTTCCATTCCTTAGCACCACATATGCAGAAAAAGCCGGAAGTGGCACTGTGGCTCAAGTGGTAGAGTGCTAGCCTTGAGCTAAGAGCTAAAGGACAGCGCTCAGGCCCAGAGTTCAGGCCCTACGACTGACCAAAAAATTAAATTAAATTAAATAGAACATTTGTAAAAATGTGAAATTGTTTTTCAAAGAGGGAAAAGGAGCCAGGTGTTGGTGGCTCACGCCTCTAACGCTAGCTATTCAAGAGGCTGAGACCTGAGGATCACAGTTCCAAGCCAGCTTGGGCAGGAAAGGTGATGAGACCCTTAAGTGATCCAAGAAAAAGTCGGAAATTGTGCTGTGGGTCAGTGGTAGAGCATTATCCTTGAGCACAAAGAGGTTCAGGGACAGTACCCAGGCCCTGAGGTCAAGGATCATGACCAAAAAAAAAAAAAAACTCATGAAATTGTGAAATTATTTTACAAAGGGGAAAAAAATGCAAGGGAAAGTGAGAGGCGGGGTGTCATGGATCAAGATACATTGTAGATATGTATAAATGAAAATGTTACAATGAAAATCCTCCATGTATAACTGATGTCTACCAACAAAAATCATAAAATTAAACAGAAAAAAATCCCTTTGAGAAGTTTTTTTTTGGGAAAAAAATTGTTCTTTTTTTTTTTTTTGTCAGTCGTGGGGCTTGAACTCAGGGTTTGAGCACTGTCCCTGCGCTCTTCAGCTCAAGGTGAGAGCTCTACCACTTGAGACACAGCACCACTTCCAGTTTTCTAGTGGTTTATTGTGGATAAGAGTCTCACAGACTTTCTTGCCCAGGCTGGCTTTGAACCACGATCCTCAGATCTCAGCCTTCTGAGTAGCTAGGATTATAGGTGTGAGCCACCGGCACTGAGCTTGTTCTCCCAATTTTATAAATGTGGGTGCTAGTTGTGAGTTAGGCTGCTAAGAAGTCACCTGAAATCTAGAGTTGATGTAAATGTCATAGGAAAAACAAATGTTTTGTGGGAGCCATAGGGTTTGAACTCGGGGCCTGGACGCTGTCCCTAAGCTCTTTTGCTCATGGCTAGCGCTCTACCACTTTGACACATATCTCCACCTCCTGTTTTCTGGTGGTTCATTGGAGACAAGAGTGTCATGGACTTTCCTGCCCAGGCTGGCTTCAAACTGCAATCCTCAGATCTCAGCTTCCTGAGTAGCTAGGATTACAGGCGTGAGCCACCAGTACCTGGTATAAAGCACATTTGATTATATCCATATTTTCAGTTGTTGACATTAGCTTGTCATCATAACATTGCTGTTGAAATGGATATAATTCTGTATACTTGGCGGTGTTGCCTAAGACTGGAATAGCAGGAATTTACAGGTCAATACAGAAGGGCATTTGGCAGTAACTCAGAAGGAAGTGTGCATGGTATATTTTACTAAAAGCAGCTCCCATTGCACTAAGCTCTGATGTTTTAGTCACTTTAAAGAATGCACAAACAGAGTCCTATCCAAAAGAACCAGAAATAAAAAGCAGACACCTTGAAAGAACAGGTGTGAAGAACATTAACCTATTAATTTCAAACCACTATCATTTTTTTTCCAGACAAGGCTTTATTTGAGGCTTAAATATTGTAATGCCAGGGAGACAGACAGTAAACAGGAAAGGAGCCTTCAAGACTGCCCCAAAAGAGTAGCAAATAGCTTGCTTAAATGGCCAAAAGAGGAACATATTATGCTTGTGCTTAGTAATTCTACCAATCATAGGCTTGTACGCACATTGTTTCCATTTCCACCAATCACAAGCCTTACATGAATGAAACATGCATAAGGACCAATCATAAGCCTCACATTACACCAAGGCCAAACAGGATCATTTGCAAGCAGTCTGTTTTCCTGTGTTTTTCTCATATAAAAAATCATGCTTTATCTACTGTAAATAGCCAAATATGTCAATGTACTGGGTGTATTTCAGATGATGGAAGAATTTTAAAGCTACATGCAAGTGTAGAACTTAGTGTTTGCAGATCTCTCAATGTACAAAGGAGGAAACTGAGGCCCAAGTCACTGTGATTGAAGAAGAGCCCTTAGGTTTCTTTGTGTATGAGCCAACATGATTAGCTCTTTTTTCCTACTACATCATTTGCCAGTGGCCTTATTTTTTATTTTCTTTTTCAGGAGCTGGAAGGCCTGCCTAAAGAAATGGATGCTCGAAGAAAACACTGGAAAGAGAATATATTCACACCATTTTTTAGCGCACATGATGTCCTAGAAAATACGTATTTGTCTCAATCATCTTCAGAACAAATAGCCATTGAGAAGACCAAGAACATGGGAAGAACATATAATTTTTCCAGCAAGTTTCAAGAAGGAAATCAACTGAAGAGGCAAGAATATATATCTCAATTCGATGAAAGGCAGCAAGCCTCAAGCTTAAGACCAAGAGCGCTAAACATAGCCAACAATGAAGTAGACACCAATTCTGCATCCTGTCAATCATCAACTTTGGACGTTTCAGGCAAAGAAAGCTGTTTAACCACAGAAGAGTCTTCTATCTGGAGTAAAAGGGATTTGCCCACTACATCTCCAACAGGTGCCAGGAAGAAAACTGTTGAAGAAATGTCTCCACAAGTTCGCCTGAATATTCTGAATCGAGAGCTGGAAGAACTTAATATGAAGTGCAGAAAAATCGAAAAGGAATTTGAACATGCTGAAAAAGAACTTCTGACTTCTAAGAATGACATCTCCACAAAAGCCATCAATTTTAAAGAAAAGGACACCAAATTCTTCAAGAATGACTGGGAACTCCAAGCTTTAAAAAGTAACCTACCACCAAAGACAACAGATGTACAGAGCTTAACCGAAGAGCTACAGAAAGCCAAAGAAGTCATTCACAAGTTGAACCTAGAGAACAGAAATTTAAAAGAAGCCGTGAGGGAGTTAAAACATCAAACTGAAGTAGGACATGAATCCATTAAAGAGGAAATCAAATTGTATTATGAAACAGAAATGGCAAAGATTCGTGAGGAGCTCCATGCCATTAAGAATGAACTGAGAGCTGAGAAAAACCTGCAAGAAAAAAATAACAAAGCACTGGAGATGCTTAGAAAACACTTGGCTTCAGCGAGCGTGTCCTCATCTACCATCGGCCAATTTTCAGGGGACTTTTTTTAAAGGTAAAAGAAAAAGCTTTTTCCACCAGGCAAGTCATCAAGTCAAATCAACGATTCTTGTACAATCTCGCTATGCTACTTAAAACACATGAGACAGAATGGAATTTCCACTTTGGGTGAATCCAACTATCTGCAAAAACATATAGATATCAATGCCAAAGCTTCTGCTTTTTTCTTTCTAATGAAGTTACTATGAGAATCCAAATGGGAACCATCTTTGGAAATCTCTTTTATATATAATATATAAATATATATATCCGTAAATACCTTTAAATCTTCTCTATCTATATTTCACTCAAAACCTTAGGGATTCACCAGATCGCTGTCAAAGACAAATCAACCACATTTTAGCATTTCATGAGCAACCTGTCCTTAATGTATGAATAGTCTTCCATCTGTATTCATTGATGTGCATAATAAAAATCCTGATTGTGTGTATAAACATAGCAAACACTTGTGATCTTATAGGCTTATTCTGACTTAATGGGGTATCAAAAATATATCTTATGGCCAGGCACTGGTGGCCCACAACTGTAATCCTCATTACTCAGGAGGCTGAGATCTGAGAATCATAGTTCAAAGCCAGCCTGGGCAAAAACATTGGTGAGACTCTTAGCTCCAATTAACTGCCTGAAAAAAAGCCAGAAGTGGAGCGGTAGCTCAAGTAGTAAAGTGCTAGCTTTGAGCAAACATGCTTAGTTACAGTGCCAAGGCCCTGCGTTCAAGCCCCAGGATTGACACACACACACACACACACACACACAATACGATCTATGTATGTCCTATCTCCTGTCTTTGGGGTTTAACCTTAATTAAGCACATGGAAGCATTTTGGGGAAAATTCAGTGTTTCCCCTCCCCCCACTACTGCTGTCTTCCCAGTCACATAGACTATAAGACTTAGAGGCATTGCTGTGACCCTTGTGAGAGCCCTGCTTTTGTCAGCAGTGGCTTTTGTATTTTCTTACGTTGACCAGCAAGGGGCGTTGTTTACCCATTTCTTCCAAAATTCAAGGAAAAAATTGTAAGTTCCTTGCTGGTTTCTGTTACCAGGCGAGAAGTATAGTGAAGGGTGTTGGGTGTCATGTAGGTAAGCTTAGAGTAAGGCAGCTTGATTTATGTAGACATCCAGTCCAATAAAGGGGCCTGGGCAAAGACAATTTGTTTTATATGTATGGTGAGTAGACTGCACTGAGTCTCTCCTTCAGTGGAAGTGGTGAGCCAGTTGATGCTTTTATTTGATCACGTCAATCATCAAGACTTCTTGTAATTGGAGCTGTATTTGCATGGTACCTTTAAAGTCAATGAAGCAAATGTAACTACACACTGCAGAGATGGAATACAATTGTAAAGGTTTAGGTATCTTTCCTGATGGGAAAGTCTCCAAACCTGGAGCCACAAAACTTAGGTTCTATTACCAGCTTTCTGAGCAATAGTTAACCTTTTTTAGGCCTGAGAATTGTTATAAAAGAAAAATAAAATTCTGCCTTCACAGCTGGGCATGATGGTGCACAACTGTAGTCTCAGCACTGGGCCTACTGAGTAGATTGCTTGAGCCCAGGAGAGTGAGATCCTTGTCTCTTAAAAAAAAAGATTCTGGGGGCGGGGAAGGTGGCTCAGTGGTAGAATGCTTTTCTTGCATGCATGAGGCCCTTGGTTCGATTCCTCAGCTCCACATAAGCAGAAAAAGCCAGAAGTGGCACTGTGGCTCAAGTGGTAGAGCTCTAGCCTTGAGCTGAAGAGCTGGGGGACAGCACGCAGGCCCAGAGTTCAGCCCCCATGACTGACAAAAAAAAAGAAAATCCAGGCACTGGTGACTCATGCCTGTAATCCTAACTACTCAGGATGCTGAGAACTGAGGATCACAGTTCAATGCCAGCCAGGGCAGGAAAATCCATGAGACTCTTATCTCCAATAAACCACCAGAAAACCAGAAGTGGCACTGCACTGTGGCTCTAAGTGGTAGAACACTAGCCTTGAGCTGAAGAGCTAAGGGAGAGCGCCCAGGCCCAGAATTCAAGCCTCCCAACCCCCCATCCCCCAAAAAGATTCTGAGCTGGGAGTGATGACTCACAACTGTAATTGTAGCTACTCAAGAGGCTGAAATCTGAACGCAGCAGTTTCAAAGCCAGCCCAGGTAGGAAAGTCCATGAGACCCTTATCTCCAATGAACCACCTGAAAACTGGAAGTGGTGCTGTGGCCCAATTTACCGGTAGAGTGCTCACCTTGAGCTGAAGAGCTCCAACCCCACAACCAACCAAAAAAAATTCTGTTTAATTTTCATTTGCTGTTATTTCACCTCAATGATTTTATTTGCTAGTGTAACTGCACCTGTGTAAATTCCTGTGCCATGGAATTCCTAGGCACTCAGCTCCAATGGTCTTGAGGAACTATTTGCAAACCTTTCAAAGGAAAGATAAGCAGGCTTTTTAGACTAATATCTCCAAATACTATAGCAGTAGAAAGTCAGTGTAGTGAGTAAGTGAGATTGCTTCCTTTCTATGTTGAATGGAGACGAACTCCAATGACCTGAAGTTGTGCAGAAGAGGAGCTTGCACTTGATTAGAAGGTGATAATTGATGGGCATGAGTACTCATGCCTGTAATCCTAGCTTCTCAGGAAGCTGAGATCTGAGGATCCTGATTCTAAGCCTGAACAGAAAAATCAGACTCATTTCTGATCTCCAACTAACTGGCAAACAACCAAAAGGGAGGGGTGGCTCTCTGGGTCGGGTGCTAACCTTGAGTGAAAAAGCTAAGCAAGAGCACGAGGCCCTCACGCCAGCACACACACACACAAAGATGATAATCTCCAGCTCTCTAAATCATTCCTGATAAACTTAATGCAGGTACTGACAACAACCTGCCTTGAGGGGAGAGATGATTTTCAGTTTTTTGATGATCACTGAATTCCAACCAAGATTCTAAGCACCAAAACAAGTAGGAATTGTTTGCTCTATTTCAAGCTCTTCTTATGATCCCTTTAAAAATTATCCTATTGAGCTGAGTGCTGGTGGCTCACACCAGTAATCCTAGCTACTCAGGAGGCTGAGATCTGAAGATTGCAGCTCAAAGCCGGCCCAGGCAGGAAACTCCAAGAGACTCTTATCTCCAATAAACTACTCAAAAAAGCCAGAAGTGAAACTGTGGCTCATTTGGTAGAGTGCTAGCCTTGTGAAAGGATCCGTCACATCTGTGTCAGGGGACCATGCAGAGGCAGGCAGGCACAGGAGAAAGATTATTACAAGGTTTATTAGAGGAGCCGTATTTCCCCCATGAGGGAGCACATGGCAGCCTCCACTATCTAGGTAGCAGGAGGGTCTGGGGATAGATAGCAAGTCAGGTAGATGGGAGCTCAGGTGGGACCAGTTATATGGCAGGAACTCCAGGGCTGAGAGGAGCTCAGGGCTGGGTGGAGCTGAGGACCAAAGGTGATTGCATAATACTTACACCTTGAGCAAAAGAAGGTCAGAGACAGTGCCCAGGCCCAGAGTTCAAGCCACAGGACTGGCTATAATATATATATATATATATATCATATTGGAGCTGGGCACTGGTGGCTCAAGCCTGTAATTCTAGCTCCTCAGGAGGCTAAGATCCAAGGATCACAGTTTAGAGCCAACCTGAACATGAAAGTCTACAAGACTCTTATCTCCAATTAACCATCAAAAAGCTGGAAAATAGAGGTGTGGTTCAAGAGCACTAGCCATGAGCAAATAAGTTCAAAGTGCCTAGGCCCTGAGTTCAAGCCCCAGGACTAGTAGAAAAAACTTATCCTGTTGTACCCTAGGCTCAATGATTTGTAATCCCAATTACTCTGGAGGCAGAGATGGGCAAGGATCTTGGTATGAAGTGCAGGGGAAGATGAGAGGGGACAGTCAGATTTCATCTTAACAAAACAAATTTCCTGTAATGTCAGTTACCCAGGAGGCATAAATAGAAGGAATGTGGTTTGAGGCTAGCACTTGAAGAAAAAGTTACCATCCATATCAGCAGATACCTATCTTCAGATAGATATCATAATAACCTAAAGCAAAAAGGCTGGAGCTGTGGCTCAAGTAGAAGACTTTTTGCCTAGCAAGTTTAAGGGCCTGAGCTAAATTCCTAGTACCAACCCCCCCCCAAAAAAAAACCCGAAAAAACAAATCATACCCTGTTCTTACCACATAAAGACTGCCATTCCAGCCAGGCACTGCTGGCTCACGGCCTATAATTCTAGCTACTCAGGAGGCTGAGATCTGCGGATCGAGGTTCAAAGCCAGCACGTGCAAGAAAGGCTGTGAGACTCATATCTCTAATAAACCACTCAGAAAACCCAAGTGGCACTGTGGCGAGTGCTCGCCTTGAGCTGAAGAGCGCTGTGCCCAGGCCCAGAGGTCAAGCCCCACAACCTACAAAAAAAGAAAAAAGATTTTCCTGCCCATGCTGGCTTCAAACTTGCAATCCTTAGATCTCAGCCTCCTGAGTAGCTAGGATTACAGGCGGGAGCCACCGATGCCCAGCTATTATGAGACTCTTATGTTCAATTAGCCACCAGAAAACTGAAAGTGATACTGTGCTCAAAGTGGTAAAGCATTTGGAGTGGGGGTGGTGGTGGTCATACACACGTAATAAACAGGTTCAGTCACCTGTTTTCTTGACTATGGCAGAGGTACCTCAGGAACTTCCTTACATTCTATATATCCTTATATTTTTGCCTGCATTTGGATTATTAGGTAGAGCCTAGCTGCAAAACTTTATACTTCTATGCACATTGTATTGTGTGGAATGCAGAAAAGCCCTTGATTACCACTCATTTTATAGGCAAACAACATGAAGTTCAGAGCTATCAAATGACTTTTAGTCAGTATCACCTAGCTAGTAAGTGGTAAATCTGGAATCCAAAGCCAATCTGCAACAGCTCCATTACCATGCTACAGCCATTACACCAGAGAACATTTTGTAGTGAGATTAAAGAGCCAAAGTTCACTCACCAGAGAGGTTCCTGCAACCTGAACCCAAGTTGAGTTCCTGAGTGGCTGGCTGACATGCGCAGTGAAGATGAATCCTATCCCTGGGAAGGCTGTAACATATCTATCTTCTGATGATGGATTACAAGGTCAATGGGAAGGACATAGAATTCTCTTCCCATGGCAATAGAATGAACTGGAAAAAAAAACACATTGTACTTTTGGGCTCAAAATTTTAAAAAATTCATTTCGAAGTATGAATCACTTTTTATTCAATATTTCTTATTCTTTTGTGGTCTTTACTTCCAAAAATGTTGTCATAGAAAGCTAACTAGCCTGGCGCTGGTGGCTCACGCCTGTAATCTTAGCTACTCAGGAGGCTGAGATCGGAGGATTGCAGTTCAAAGCCAGCCCGGGCAAGAAACTCCGTGTAACTCTTATCTCCAATAAACCACCAGAAAATGGGAAGTG